GATTCCGCTAAAACATTACAATCGCGCCATTCTTTTTAAAATTATGTTCAATTTCTACAGTCAGTTTGGTTATTTTGCAAGTCTGCAAATACACCTGTCCGGCCTTCCAATGAAATGAACGTAAAGTAGAAAACGAAGGCCCGTGATCAAAACACTGAGGAAAAAACCTGACGAAACAGAGGTAGTTGTTATTTTAAAAAACCTAGTAAAATCTAATAAGTAACATTTTTTTAAGACTTTGTTGAAGGGATTTTAAATCAAGTTTTAAGAAAAAAAATGAGATTTTTTTTCCAAAGAAAATATTGACTTTCATAAGTAAACCAACGAGGACTAAAAGGAAGCTTGTAACAACAGTATTTACAGTATTTATAAGAGTTAGCCACCACCCTTTTCTTAACAAGCGTCTTTCTTCAATCCACGAAGGATAATAAAATATGTCATACTAAGCACTATTAACTCCTCACTGGACTAAGTCGCTATCTCGATTCACAGACTGGAAAAGCACAGTCGATTTGCAGGCGAAATGGGGATGAATTTTTTGCTATCTAGTTAATGGATGATGTGTCTTTAAATTCAATATTCTATGACATGATGCTTTTAGTTATGCAGATTTCAAATGCGAATGAGCATTAAGCGAAATATATCTCGTATTTCAAGGGTTTTTTATTATTCAATGTAAAAGGTTTAGGTAGTTTTCTCTTAAAATTTGCATACAAGGTGTAACTGAGATGTGACGGATTGATTCTGAACAGTTACAGTTCGGTAAACTTGAGGCCTTACCTATTGCATTTTGAACACGGTTACAAAAGCGATAATCACTTCTAAATAAGCAAAAAAGGGACTGAGTTTGAAGAATCAGCTATTTACTTTTCATATCCGACAACTGGGCTGGCATTAAGTCAATGTCTATTATATTTAGTAGCCTGTGCGCAATTAACAGCCATTCCGTGCTATCGAGGCCCATTTTCACTAAAACAGCTGTCCAAATCTTTTAATATGATGCCTTAAATCATTGTTATTTTTCCTCTGATATCGTTTATTACTTACCTTATTATCGAAGTGCCCGGAAGGCTTTTTAATTGGCAGTATATACTCGGTGTGATGACATCGCAAGACGACGGTCAGTTGGAAAAGTTTTCAAAAACTTTAATGACTCCCATGTCATCATCATGGATCACCATGCAGCTCTTTCCTCTTCAAAGAGGCTATTCCCCCCCCCCCCCTCCTTAAAAAAAAAAAATAAAGTGAAGAAGGGTGATTCGTTTCTTTTTCTTTAATGAAAAAACCAAGATCCTTTTTAAATCCGTAAATCACTCATTAATATTGACCGTCCATTTCCCTATCCCGGAACACAAAGTTAAGTAGATTTGAAAAAATTATAAAGGAAATTAATAAATAAATGTTGTTGTGAACGTAGCGACAGTATAATTATTCAATTCACAAAATATTTTATATTGAATAGTTATTCCCATTCTTTTTTGCTAAATGATATATATGCTCAAATTCTCGTTCATAGAACCCATTGAAATGCTCCTGAATTTACCCCGTTTTATAATTATAAATATTGTTTTCATTTTTTTATCACACTTCACCTAAGCACAAAAAGGTTTCGTTTAGTGTTACAATTTTGGATCATGCAATCTGGTTGTCATTAAAATACCCAGCTCACTATGCAATGTCTTCATGGTAGTTTCGTTTTTTCAAGGGCTGTACTATGTTCCGTTTTGTAGTTGACTCTTAACAATTTTGGTCTGAATTATTAAATTAAAGATGGTGGAAGAAGATGAATTTTTTCTGTAGGCTTATATTGCCGAGCTGAAACGGTGCTTTCCCCATATCTGGATCCTGAAATTCTGCCGATGACGAAGGTACTCCCACAGTTTCATTTCACGCTCGCCCTTCAGGCTAGCCTAGCCATACAGTAAAAACCTGCAACTAAGGACTTGGATTAGAAAGAACCTGTAAGGCTAAAATTTGCCACTTAGGCCCCGTCTATACAAGAAACTGTTTACCCTAAAATTTGAAACAGATTCATATTTTCTAAAATCTATGGAAAAAAAATCTGCACGTAGACTTGGGCTAATAAGATAAGCCAACATTCATGATCCTCTAGATCATTGGAGACATAGGTGCTTTATTAGTTCAACTGTAATTCTAAGCAGTATAATAATAATTTTTTTCTTCAGAAAATACCTACTTGTAGCATAAATTTGTACTAATTACCATTTATGTAAGAACCTGTTTAAGATATAACTTGGGCAAATGCAGGTTCTTAGTCGCGGGTTTTTACTGCATTGAATTTTTAAATGACTCTAAAGCCAATAGTTTATATACTCCATGCAGCAAATATTTTGACTTCTCAGAGACAACGGGTCACTGCGTCATAAACACGATCTCTCTGTCTGTTTATTTCTAGATAGACAGCATCCACGAACTTCGAAGTCAAAGCCAAATTTGTCTCAATACGTGCGAACTAAGTTAACATTTTAGCCTCTATAAGATTTGCCTCCTTATGGGTCGCAACCTTTTCGAATTAAAAAAAAAATTACAACAATAACAACCTTTTCTTTTCTTCTTGAACCACTGTCGTTAAATCTGTTGCATATGCAAAGGAACTCTTTAAAAAGAGATGCAGAGTTTTGGAGGTACTTCATCTTTTTTATGGGTGCAGTAAATAGTTTTAACTACAGATTTACTACTTAGTGTTGTTTTCCTAATATCCGATATCCCAACTTTTAAGTTGTTCACAGAGGAAAACACTTAACATGTCTCAAACCGGCATGAAATAGATGTCTCTAGTAATTTTTTTTACATTCTTTCCATTTTTGCATGAATAGGGGTACTACCTTTGGCTACATTTCAAAAAGGAACCCACTCAAAAGAAATTCACCTTATAAGTACAACGAAGGTTATCTATTTGTAAATAAAATGAAGACAAACACTAGTCAAAAAGAGCAAAGCGTAAAACTCATTCCAGGTATTCTGTATTCTATTACGAGTTTTATTTAAACAAATATTATATTTACGATAATACAAGGGACTTTTAGATCCTTTTATTAAACTATTGGTTGCTAGCAAAAAGGAAAAGAAGCACAGTTAGTAATCATATTAAGACCAAATTCATTCTTTATCAATTTATTGAAACTTAAGTACTCATAGTTTAGAACAAATTACAGACACAGTTTAGATTGGGGTTGTTAATTTAGTAATATCGTCTCGCGTTTCACTGTTGGTTATTAATTAACGGTACTGTAATTAGCGCGCGAGAGAGAGAGAAAGAGAAAAGAGACAAGAGATGAAATTAATTTGAGGACCGACTTATTTCCAGGCCGTACTCAAGTATTACGAGCGGTTTTTTCACAAAATTCAACCCAACAACATCTGAAAGGAGAAATTAAATGCAAGGTGGGACACTTTTTTCTATTTAAAATAGTAATCTTCGCATTCAAAATGATCAGAAATTGATTGCTGACTTGACTGGACCGGAAGTTAACTTTGCGTTTGACTTTTGAGAATTTCTTGAGCTTTTCTGCTTAGTTCTGAGATTGTTTCAAGTTCGATTGCATATATATCCAGATATTGCCTTGTTGTTTTAGTTTTAACTGGAATGGTCATCGTGGAATGTTACCTCGCGGGGCAATGCGTGATAAACTGGTCCAGTCAACTGGAGGCAGTGATTATACGAGAGCAGCTGTGGAGTTTCAGCCCTTGTCACCACTATTCATTACCATTAAAATTTAAATTGTTAATAAATCAATAACCAACAATGGAATGCGAGACGATAATAACAACCGCGTGACACCAACAGTTAATTATAAACCACATAAAATAAACGCATTGTGAAATTTACGGACAAAGCGCCGACACAAACATCGTTTTTGCATCGTACAACAACTTCCATCTCATTTTTCTCCGCAGCAGATTCATGAACAGAACAGGTAAGTTTTTATCCCTCATTTAATTTCCATATGCAGCTTACAATAAGAATGCGGGTTCCCTATGAGGGAACATCCGGAAGCAGGAAGATCAAGGGATAAAATGAGGAGATATTCGATATTTTTCGTTACGAACGTAGTCAGTTTCTTCTTTTTTTTATTATATAATTATTTATTTTACTTTCAAGACCCGGTGTTTCATTTATTGAAAAAACCCTGATTAAGAACTACTCAATTTTTATTTCAAAATTTAAAAGCCATTGTTCCGGTTCATATTCATCCTTTGTTTTATAGTTTCATATTCTCTTGTGTCGAGCCACGACACGATGATCATCAACTAGCAAACCTGCTTTAAAAAAATACGTTAAAAAGCAGTAATATGCTGTTAGCAGTACGCTGTACAATGCACTGCAGCGTTTCCTTGAATGTTGGCATCAGATGATATATTTTAAGTTATTCAAAACCACATTTAGCACTTGAAAACTCCGGGAATTAGATGAACTTGAAGCTATGAGAAGAATGACTTATAAATGAAATATTATCAGCTATGTTGAAAATTTGCAAAAAACTACTACTACTTTAAATACTTGACGCTGGTTACGACTTACCTGTCTGAAAAAGCAACAACGATTTTGAATGGGAAAAAAAATTTTTACTTATGCTACAAAAGCTTATAAAATTGCGTCCAGAACGGTAATTCTTTCATTGCGACCATACGCAAAGGTGCAGTGGAGCTGAGCTCACATCATTCGGTTTCTACAACACCGATCAAAACATTTTCTAGGCGAATTCAGCAGATGTCTTTAGTAACTTACGAAAGAAAACAATTGGTATAAATATTTTTAAGTGTTTGCGACATTAAAATATTAATAAAAGCAATAGTATAATCTTATAACTACCTTTCCTACACATTTACGGTATCTGAGAGATGAATGCACTGCCAGCCTCATTGAAGCGGCTGAGTATCATTAGTCGAGTAGTCTCTGCAAGTATCTCTGCAATCAGGACTGTACCGGCTTCAAGTTCCCGGCTGAACTCGTACAATCTGGTTTCCTTACCAGTCCTCTACAGTTTGCTCTCAGGTGCGCACGCATACTTGTCAAGGGGGTAGAGGTTGATCACATTTGGCTGTTTAATGCCTGGGTCAACATGTCTGATGTTTTCCATGGGTATATATTCGTTATCGTCTTTTAGCTTGCCATTGGCCTTACGACACTTGAAACAGAAATCAGAGAAAGCAATTATATCCCTGTCAATACTGAGGCCATTTGTTTATGACTATGGTCCTTCTAAAGAAACAAATATAAAACCAAGCACGCCTAATCTTTGTTTAAAAGCTACCCTTCCTAAGCTTTCCGGAAATACCGTAAAATTTTGAAAATAAGCCCCGGGGCTTATATTTTTCAAAGGCTCTTTTTGAAGGGCTTATTTTTGGAGGGGCTTATATTCGGAGGGGCTTATCTACGGAGGGACATTTGAGTTTCAAAATCGATTGGGCTAGCCTTATATTTGGAAGAAAATTTGCCGTTTTTGCTTTGCTTTACTTTGTATTTGATTCCAATTTCCAAGTAAAAGCCCCCGGGGGGCTTATATTTGAAGGGGCGATTTAACGGAGGGTTTTTTGCATTACGAGTTTACGGGGCTTATATTTGGAGGGGCTTATTGTCGGAATTTTACAGTATTTAATTCTTTCATACCTTCAAAACATTCTAAGGCATTCCCTAGGCAATTTCAGTTTTTGATCAATAGGCCTCCTTATCTGAATTCTTTGATAATCTATGTTCTAATATTATCGATGTCTTTTTTTTGCCCCTCACGTTCCCCCTACCCGTCATTATACAATGTATGACTTAAACCGTTTACAGGGCGTTTTCACTCACATGGCCAGCATCTATGCAAATGCATTGGAACAAAAGAAATTGTTTACATAAGAAAATAGTCCAACTCCCTCTAGGTACACCAACATAACCGCCGTTTCATTGTTTTGGAACACCAATCTGGCTGCCGTGACGTCATGTAAAAACTGTCTGCAATACAGTAATTTGCAACAGGAATCGTCGAATGTTCTCGAGAAAGTTCGCTAAAAAGTTTGCGAGGAAATTTCGCTGGAACGTCAGCCAACTCCTGTTGAATGAAACTGTACCTTTATCCCCTGCCAAACCACTTCTTCCAGCCAGATGGTTCAGGCTGTTGCTTGGCCACTGGTCTAAGTACTCTGTCACCCTGTGAGAGTACCACCCCTACCCGTACTCGGTTGAGATTGTTGTGATCAGTTGATTCTTGAGATTCGCGACTAAAGCGTCGTTTTAAGGCAAGCTGCGAGGAAAATGAATTTCATGGTATCAAACAGAAATCAAACAACTCGCATAGCGACAATTGAGTCATTTCCTGCCAAATGCTGTCTGAAATTTGAAATTACTTTACCGTTTTGAGTGAGTTATCAGACTTTCTTTATTCTCAAGGGGGGTTCCAAATATGCATGACGATTATGTTTTGCGCGCTGTGTGCGTTTCTGCTTCATTTATCATGAAATTCATTTTAAGTTCATTTTAAAGTTCATATCCAATGTTTATACAACGTATGCACTTTTATGTATACTGTACGTTCGTAAACACAATTTCAAACAACATTAGCAGGTCAAGCCGAGAGTGTTCTGCCCTTGATTCACATCAAGAGTTTCCTTTTTTTTTTCACCGTGATTTCATATACCGTTTTAATACTCGGCCCATGGATTGGAAAGAAGTATGAGTGTTTATTGTTACTATTATTTTTTTGGTGTGAAAAATATGCTAAAATGATATGAATGGAATGATGAAACAAAGCGATGTGTAAAACAAGAAAAAGGATTAAAACAGGCCATTTTCGAGTTCGCAAAACTCTCAGTTTCAAATGAGTCTACGCGAAAAACCTTTCTTGACTAGTAATAACGAGTTTTATTTGCATGAGAATAAAAATTTATTTTGTAATCAATGCCTTCGTACTTAGCCTTGCTTCGAAACAGAGGCTTAGGGCAACTCAGTCGGAAATGGTCTATTCGTATTATTATTAATTATTAATTATTATTATTAATTATTAATTAATTATTATTAATTATTAGTTACCTGGCCATTGGTTAACATATCAACCAAATTCTTGCAGCGCCTCTCAATGATAAGCAAAACAAGGGAGACGACCACACCACCCAGTAAAATAATAAACACTCCGGCCAAGTTGTTCAGGTCAAGACGCTGTGTGTTGCCAGTTTTAGACTGCGAGGGCTTTGGACACTTACTGCGATCATCCCACCAAGTTCGGCGAGTTTTTTCAATGAAGTTCTTTTCTCGCAACTATATGAGAAAAAAATTAAAACCTCTGGTATGTTCACGCTACACTCATTACACAACAATAGTAGGCAATTGTAATTGAGCCACAGGCATCCCATCCTGGCCGGCTGGGGCTAATCATGAAGAATAACCACTGACACAGAGAAGATTGGCCCTAGAGAGGCATTGCCTGGATCTACAGATACAGCATTTTGAAAGTTTTCTTCTAAATCTGGCTTTATTTTATTTCTTTCAAAAATATCTTTATTAGTTGAGAATCCTTGGTAGAATGTGGATAATATATTTTATTATTATTGTTTTAATTATTTTGCTTTTTTTGGTGAGAAAGCAACAGGGAGAGGTGCCCCTGACCGGTTAGCAGATTTATAAGTGGTTTATGTGTATATTTATTCCCTAAATACTTTCTTTCCACTCAAATTAACTCCTTTTCAAAGAAAAATGCAATGCAACCGGAAATTCCCTCTTAACAAAACTTGAAGTTTTTAATATGTTTTCCAGCAACTATTATAGCTAGCCAAAACAACTCAGTCAAGAGTAAAGAAAATGGTGCGTCTAGTTAGAGAAAATTTATCAGGGTGCCTAGCCCTATACAAACAGAAACCATTCGTCGAAAACCTGGTACTGGGAGTATCCTCCAACAGCCTACGGAGGAGAGGGGATAGCAGTTTTCAAAGTAATTTTGTCATGAGGGCGGTTTATACGATAGAAAACTAATTTATACATTGCAAATACAATTTCCCTTACCTTCAGAATCGCGACGGTTATTCTATTGGTATACGGTGAATTCCTCTGAAGCCCAAGACCATAGCTTTTGGTCTGAATCAGATTATTCAGCAATTTTGTGTTGCATGGTTTCTGTTGATTGTGGTACTCCAGATACGGGTACTCTGTTATGTAAGCGTAATTTTCTTCCCTGGCCCTTTTTACTCCTGTTGTGGTATTAGGAACAAACGTCTTATATTCCCTCATGTGAGAAAACATTTTTCTGTACAAAGAGTTTTCTGACGTCTCGAAGAATTTTTTCACTGATCCACCCTCCATCACACCGTATTTCATCTCGTTCTGATTTGCAAGAGCTTCCAAAGAATTGATAGTATCTGCTGTTTGCTTAACTAAAAAGAGAGTTTAAATAGGTTGGGTAAGGTGTTTTCAGTATCTTCTATCTTAATAGTTATAAATTTATCCTTAATATCCCATATCCTTATTTTGAAATAATTAACAATTCATTTATTTAATGATTAGCAATTGTTCAATGAGGCTGAGTATGATGTGAAGAATTATGCAACGTCGAATTCAATAATTGTTTTATTATTCTTTCAAAAAAAATTTCAAACAGACTATCCAAAGGATTCGATATTGTCAGTATTTCAAAGCAAAATAGAAATGGTCGCATTTGACAGTATTTTTCTCACGTTGTACCTCTTTCCTAATAAACAATCAATACACTGAATTAACTTTTATTTCTTCAAAGACTAAGAACTTTGATATCCCATATCTCATAAATTCTGTTCTAATCATCCTGTGTTCCTTTCATTTTCCGCTATCCGATATCTCTGGATTTCCCAAGAAAAAGTGATAGTCGCCATTATAAAAGAAGACCACTTCAGCAAAGAACTATCGGTGGTGAAACTCAAAGTGAGTTTCTTGGAAATTGAGTCTCTTCGACTTACTTGTAAAAAAGGCAGCCAGGTTTGCCGTGTAGGTTGAGATTAAGATTAAAATAAAGAACCAGAACGTAGACGCTAACAGGCGACCGGAAGGAGCCAGTGGAGTGTTGTCTGGGCCCTGCTGCAGAATGGAAGCTGTTGCGAACCAAAGGCTGTTTAACAGGTTAAACTCGTTTCCGGGTTCATCGTCTGCGTCGCGAGCTCGGGCACGGTAACCAAAGGGAGTCAAGAAATCCATTACACACATCATAATGGTGATGAACATCACCTGCGAGTGAAATATCAAATACAAGAAAGAGTTTTTCATCTAAATAATAAAAAACCAAGGGGCGGCCGTTTGAAAAAAAAACTACCAGTTGTAGATAGATTTAGGCCACATTTACCGTAATAAAATAATAATTATTATTATAACTGTAATTGTAATAATAATAATAATAAATACTTTATCAGCGTGTCAAAATCCCTGGATTGCAGGCCCTGTAAACTAATTGTGGACGCCGTACTGCCCCTCTGCCCGCTTATTTCAACCACTTCCCGCTCCATATTGAGTTACTACTATGTTTACAGCTATTTCGAGAAAGGTTGTCGGAAAAAGTGCACGCGACAATCCCGAAAGGTGTTGTGGGTGGTTTTGAGTGCACTGTTCTTCAAAGAAATTTGAAAGAATGACACGGGATGTTTACGATGGTATGTTTGCGATTGCTAAAGGAAAGCAAAAATAGTAGGTTCGACAGCTTCAGTCGTTATAGGAACATGGTATTGATCATATCCCATATTACCTTTCGGGATTGTCGCGTGCACATTTTTTTCGCCTCGAAATAACTCTATACAAGATTTATAAATGTGTATAGAAGTTATAAAAACATAAAGAAAGTTTATCCTAAGCGTTGCCCGGGTGGCAGTTCTTACATTCCTCTGGAAGAAGGATCTCAACATCCACCTTTCTCACCCGGTTCTTAAAAACAAGCTGCTTTACAGTAGAGGAGATTTTTTCCGGGTAATTACTGTACATTTAAATGTTCGGATTGGTAGGTTTTCGTACAGAAAACTTATTCGGATTCCCAACAACGCAGGGAGATTTAACAACGACAACGGTAACGCCAACGAGTACTTCAAAAAGCAATAGGTTTAGGGCCTGTTTATATGATATGAGCCAGCCCAGTTAGCGGGCCGGCTCAGTTTTGTTTCCTCTTAAAGTTTTTGTTCTGTGTATATGGATCTTGGGTCGAACAACTGTGTAACTCGGTTTATGAGGAAACAACCATGAGCCGAATTAGCCCGGTAAAGCGGGCAAGCGTAGCTAACCCTGGCTATCCTCATGTAAACAAACTCTCAATAGGTGCGGTTACACTAGCCCTTTCCCCCAAGGCTCCCCCCTGGGGAAATAGCCAATAGTGAAGTATTCAGCAAGAGATTGTCTTAGTTATATAGATTAATTATAAAACACCTGAGTCAAACCCCGTTAATACGGGCACTGAGGGTGCCTTAGAAATTGTCCGTAATTAGGGCTGTCCGTATAAAGCTGGTTGAACTTAAAGAAAATGTGCGGGCTTTTTTTTCGCAGGGACAAAGCAAACTGTTTGTAATAATAATGTGTACGTATTAAGCAGGTGTACGTAAAGCGGGGTTTGACTGTACTGTTTCATACACAAACTATTCTTGTTGAGACCCCAGTCTCAAAAGTGTCCACTGCACTTCAGTCCTTTTCCCAAAGTTCACATTAATAATCACGGAGAGTGAATGAAACAAGCACATTATGATGATGAGTTACTTACAGAGATAGAAATGTTCTCATGACAGCAAGGGTATTTTATACTCACCACACCAATTGTGGACAGCCACACACTATTCGTGAAAGGTTGAAGAAATGCAAAATTATTAATGGGAGGCTCCCCAGGTTTCTGCATGATGAGACTCAAGCTGAAATCCATGAACGGTTTACTGAAATCTATGTCCTCTTCTCTTGAGGCTGTTATTGTTATAGGGGCGAGCGCCATGTCTCTTTTCTAATCAATAGATACATACAAATTGTTTGATATTATACTATCATTTCGTAAGTTGGATGCCCTTACACTTTAGACCTCAAGTTAAACTCTTACAACTCTGGTTTAAACATTTGGGACACTTAAGCAATAGCTCTTTAAAATGGCGCATTTTTCTATCCCCTCCCCAGGTGGAGCGTTGACGTCATGCATTCATGTCCTTCGCATCAAAATCAACTTTGCTTGGGAGAGAGGGGGAGAACAGAAATAGGCTGTTACAAAACCAATTCCAAGCTTTTAAAAGAAGTAGAATACGAGGTACTTAAGCAAAGTGCGTTTTCTCGCCTAATTTCCTCAAGTGTCCTAAGATGTTTTGACCTGGGTTGTAGGTCTTAATTCAAACACTCTTCTAAAACAACATTTTATTGAGGTATTTAGAGGAACAAGTAGGGTACTAGGCACTACGGTATGTTACGCTAATAATACTCTCATTCTCAGAGTCATGATAACAAAGAAGTTGATCAGAGCCCTCTCTATGAGTTTTTATTGTTGTTGTTGTTAAGTCCTGTTGCTCTTACGGAAATCTTCGTCAATAAAATATGTTTAAATAACAAAAAAATTGATCTGAGTGTCCCGGGTTCCACCTGTAAAGTGACTATAAGTGGGGGACACCAAAATGATTTAATATAATGGCAACTTATATTGAAATAATAATTTGTGCATCACCTGTTCTTTGAGTTCATCAATCATATTTTGATACTTGGTATCACCTCTGAGGTAGATTTCGTATTTAAAGTTTGCCTCCTTTGCTAACTCCCTGATTAAATCGATAAGAAATCCTTGAACATCTCCGTCTTTCACTTTCCCTGCTACATCTTTTAGTTTTGCTGATTTGTTTGTAATCTCCACGAAAGGACGCTCCTATGAAATTATACATTTAGTATTGAGTATCATTATTCCTTTCAGTATAGACACGATTTTCACTTCTACTTTTCACTTTTGATACCGCCCTCATGCATAACAGTCCCTAAGTGACATAAATCAAAAGAGAGCTAATAATAGCCGGGGAGAACAAAACATTTTATCGGTGCGCAATGGAGGAAACTCCCATTCTCAACATTAAGACCCTTTTCAATTACCTTTTCCTCTTTCAGTCAATAACAGCGTGGGGGGGGGGGCACTACTTGGGGAAATTTCGTATACCTATGATCCACCCAGGCGCTATTGGAGTCGTTTTTATTGGTCAATAAGATCTAAATGACGGGAATGCTATTGAACGTTTTGCACCGTGTCAGGTCCACAGAAACACATAATAAAGGGGGCTGACGGGCTTCATAACATTTCCATTCTATTAACTATGGTAACGTTGTCATTATGATCATTGACCTATGAAAAAAAGAGAGCGTTTGCATAAGAAAAGAGTTCAACTTCCACAGGATTGGTTTGGGACATCAACATGGCCGCCGTTTCATTGTTTCGGGACACCAATATGGCCCGCCGTGACGTCTTGTGAAAACACTCTAAAGGAGACATCACTGCTTACAAACACTGTTTTTGTCGGCATTCAAATTTGTTACGAGTGAAAAAAGGAATCTGTTACAAGAACCAATGCCCCTGTGGTTGATACATTAATATCAATGGGTGACGTCAGTGAAGGTATCGCTATTCAGTACAACTCTTCAATAATATTAAAAGGCCATTTCCGAGTTAAAAAATTCTCATTTTCAAACTGACGAGGCTAAGTGCAAAAGCTTCATGTGAAAATATAAAATGTACTTAACCTCGCTTTGAAACTGAGGCTTGGGGCAAATCGAAAATGGACTCACTTTGATGAGGCATTATTTAGGCATTGAGTCAAACGGAAAAAGATGACTCCACTTACCAGCACTGTTGTGACTGTAAGTGTTCGTATCGGTACGGTAGGAGAACCAATCACACCAGGATTATGGCATTTTACCATCTCTTCAAAAGCACCGAGCCATTTCGGTTCTTTGCTTTGCCGGGTTGAAACTGCATTAGCATTTTTCCCTGAAGCCGGTTTCCATGAGCCTACCTAATAAGTAAAAAAATACAAAGTACCAGTTTAATTGTATACTGAGAAAAAACAAAACAAACAACAATCTATTTATTAACACAACGAGAAAGTTTTACAATACTGTATGCCCCGCAAATAGCTATTACGCTAACCTAGGCAGGACAATCTAAGCGATATTAAATTACATATTAAAAAAAAAAGAAAAGAAATACAATAACATACAGAAAGTGAGAGCCATATGTTTATTATTTATGCAACCCCACTTATGCGCGAGCGGCCAAAGATTTTTAAAGGGTTTTTAAGTGGAAGTGACACTGGTTCAGAAGCAACAAATTATTGGGCGGAATGCAATAAACCTATGCTTAAATTACCCGTTACAAATTTTTTTACTAGACGCGATTTTCTTTGAACAGTAGGGTCTTTTATATAATAATAGAGGAACCAGGAGCAAGAGAAGAGCAGCCAATATATCTGACATTGACATTACATCGGAAAGTGCGCAAGCCAGAATTTAAGTAGTAACTTTTCATCAGTTTGAATTGTTATTTTTAAATAGTTTTTATTCTTTTTATTTACTTTTTGATGCTTTTTATAATTGTTATTAGTAGTCTTTAGATAGTCATTTTACGACAATTCTCTTTCGTACACAAGAAGAATGTACATAGGGTATATATTTTAATATTTCATATTTTTGAATCTGTAAATAGTCTATTTTTTTTTAAATCTATGAATAAAGTTTTGTATTATTATTATTATTTATTAAAAATTAGTATTAGTATTAGTATTGATTAGTATTAGTATTAGTATTCGAATAACGGTTTTTAATTGAAATGAATTTTTTAATCGGAACTATGTGGGTTTTTTTAATCGAAATGAATTGTAAATAGTACTTGTACTGGATAGTTTTTTTTAAGCAAAATTTAATTGTAAATAGGCCGGATTTTGTAGTTAGTTTTCTTATCAATAAAAGATTCAGATTATTGTTAAATTAAAAAAATAATAATAATAATAATAATAATAATAATAATAAAAAATCAAAAAACCATACTTTATTAAATTCTTCTCAAATTGAAAATTAAATACAAATTTAGTATAACTATAGTTCAAAAAGACTTCTTGGTGGGCTGGTGGTTTTAAACAGAGCAAATGTTAACAACTGTCTATAAACTAAAAAAAGAAAATTTTCTAATAATAATAATAATTTTTTTTCTTTTTTCTTTTTTTCCTTTTTTTTTTTTTTACTTTTTAAAAAAAACATAATAATAATAATAATAATAATAATAATAATGATAATAATTATAGAGGGAGCCCAACTCACCAAGGCGGTTTTCAGTGGGGCCCTCATGCATTAATTTAACTAATTAATTAATTATTACGAAAAAAGTGGAATATGTTCACAAGTAAAAAAATTTAAAAAATTTAAAAAATATGAAGCTTTAAAATTAGCTGCGATCTCTTTAAAAAGTTTTTAACTTGGATTTAAAAATAGATAAAAAATTACACTCTTTTAAATCATTTGGAAGGCTGTTCCAGTCTTTCGCGGCGTGAAAAATAAAAGTTTGTTTAACCCAGTTTGTTCTGGGTAGGGGGTAAGCGAATATCATTAGAGCGTCTTGCATTATATGAATGAACAGCTTGATTTTTAGTAAAATTAAAGTTGAAATCGGTTTCTCCAATAAGACACTTGTGGGTTGCAATGCAGCGATGAAAAAACCTTCTTGTGGACAGTGACTTCAGATCTAGACTCTTCAGTGCTTCGGTTGACGAGCTTCGGGGTGGTTTCCCCAGCAGAACTTTAGCAGCTTTATTCTGTAGAATCTGTAATTCTGACATAATGGTGTCATTGTTCTAGTCCCCCCATATAACGTCTCCATAATCAAAAAGAGGGAGGATTAGGGCATTGTACAAGGCAACTCTAGCTTGTAGCGGCAATAGATTCCTGATTCTCCTAATTAGGCCTGTTCTCTGATTAATAATCTTCATGCTGATAGAATCGACATGATCTGCCCAGGACATAGACTGTTGAAGCGTTACGCCTAGGTATTTGAATGATTGTGTTGTTTCAATATTAGTGCCCTCTACTTTAACCAAAATGCCTTGAATACGATTCAGTTTCTGAGGACTTCCAAAGATAACAAAATTACATTTGGATATATTTAGCGTCAGGAGATTTCTAGAGAACCACTCAGACACTGTCCCCAAGTCAGCATTGATGTGATGTTCAAGATCACTGACGCTTTTGAATGAGTAATAGAGTATAGTATCGTCCGCAGAAAGAGTAATATCACTTGCCAGATAACAGTCCGGAATATCATTCATGTAAATTAAAAACAATAAAGGTCCCAATATACTGCCTTGGGGTACTCCAATAGGCATTTCGGTAGATGCAGAGTGAGCATCTCCAACCGATGTAATTTGTGACCTGTTTGTGAGGTACGATCTAAACCACTGGGTGGTGGAGGTGGTAAGACCGATGTCCGTCAACTTTTGCAGCAGCAGGGGATTATCCACTGTATCGAAGGCCTTAGACAGACAGGTCCAGAAAAACAGCACCTGTAAAGGAACCAGCGTCCATATTCTGGAGGATATTGTCTGTGAAATGAGCCAAGGCTGTTCCAGTTGATAACTTCGGTCTGAACCCAGGATAAGGATACCATTGTTCTCAAGATAAGCGTACAATTGCGTGTGCACGGCTTTTTCTAGAATTTTACTGATCGTTGGCAGTAATGGGTCTGTAACTGTTAGCATCACAGCAATCACCTTTCTTGAATAACGCTGCCACTTTTCCAAATTTCGAAAGAGAAGGAAAGGTGCGAGTTTCCAGGGAAAGATTAAATAATCTAGTAAGACTGGCACTGATTACGGAGGCTGAATCTTTCAGTAGACGAGCACTGATATTATCTAGGCCAATGGCTTTATTGGTTTTGAGCTGCTTATGCTGAAGAAGAACGAAGTCTTCCGTAATTGGCTCGAAAGCAAATTCATGGGGTAGATTCGAGTTTACCGCAGGCGCCGAGTAGATGTGGCATCTACAAGACTTGAGCTTTTGCACCAGTTTAGTTCCAAGTGCTAATTTAGCAAATTAAAATATATTTAACATCAATGAAATCGGAATATTTCGTACTATTTCCGAATGATATCTGTTGTTCTTTGCAAACTAAGTTTCTCAGCCATCGCGTTAAAAACGAAAAAGTTATGACGAAAACTTCGTCAAGGCTAAATGCGACTGTATTAATGACAGAGCCACCTTAAGGGCGCCTTCGATGAAGCTGTTCCGGAATAGGAATTTTTAATGTACCATATGTCTAGAACATGTGCTTTTTAAGACATTTATAGTCCTGTGCATACATATTCAGATATTCAGATGCATGGACGCTTTCATTCTTAGCATTCCTATTACAAAATACGGACGTTTGAAAGCATCCTAAAATTGCTGCTTCCTCCTGTAACTGTCTGATTACGAACGCTTATTAACGGCATTAGTGCTTACCTGAGTTACATCAGTTTGGAGAACGTTCAAAATGTTCATGCCGTCTTTAACAAGTCGCTCGCCAGTTGAGGCGTTAAACTCCACATGTCCTGTCAAGCCCTGAAATTTTACCTGAGTAGTAGCATAGGAAAAAAGGTGAAGGATCTACGTCGTTTAATGGTATTAAAGTATACCTAAAAGTAGCCATGACTTAGAGTTTTGAGCTAAAAACAGTACTTCTCACTGGTTCTGTTTGTATTTCCTTACATTTAGAAGCCAAAACGTGAATTTTTTTTTCTGTTATTCCATTTTACAGTGTATCTTTGAAAAAGTAAGTAAGTATCATATACAGTACTCCTTTATTGGAGGGATTATTGGTCACTCAAAGACATCGCACCAGGGTTTAATAAAGCCACGAGGAGCAACATTGTCTTTTGTACCGCACGGTATTATATTCCATGGCAACGATGAGCCCTAATTCCGATTAATTTTGTAACAGCCAAAACATACCTTCTTGATCTCACTGAGTATTTTCTGTCCCAGTCCTTTATCCTTACTTTCTATGCTTCGCAATGGACAGCTTTTATCAACCTCATGAGCTGCAATAATATCTTTCCCATTCTTACTTGTGAGGAATCTCGCCAGCGCTCTTTCGCTCACTTTTGCTGCGTCATGAACAGCCGCGTACATTGCCTACCAATCAGGGAAAAAGGTAAAGCCTGTAAGGTCCCTATTTTCACTCGTAACAGTACTCATTAGATTAACAAACCTGAGGCCAACAGTTCGCTCGTCTTATGCCTCTCTTTCCGTCAGTGCTCATTCTACGGGTGATTAAAGCTACTTAAGAGACCGGTCATTATTTATCACCTGGGGGAGGGGAGGATATTAGGGGAGATCACTTGATTTTTGGGAGAACAAAAAAGGGGATCAGTCATACCTGAGAACCCAAAAGGAGGGTCGATGAAAGCTTTGGAAGGATTCAGAGAGGGGACCACTCAAATTTGCTTGGAAAATGAAGACATGTGAGGGGGATTGCTAAAGTCATCAAAAGTTATTAGAGGGGATCACTTCAGTGAAGTAACATTCAAAGGGGGGATCGGTAAAGGAAAGAAGTTGAAAAAAGGATTTGAGGGCACACCTGGGAATCGACCTCGGAACCTCCCGCACGAACAGCGGTGCATTAATTAACTCACTGTGTTAAGAGGGAATCCACCAGGAAATTGAGTAATTTTAATTTACAGTGGACAAAAACCTTGTATTAGAATAATTTAAAGCATATTGCATTCTTCTTTACATTTTGCAAGGGCTAAAGATGTAATTAGTCATCTGTAATAACACCAATTGAAAGAAAATTTCTTATGGGAGCCCGAGAAAGCTTTAGCGGACGGAAAGAGCCTTGGGCGAGCAATCCTCATTAAAAATAGTCGGGGTGTGCGTTGGAAAATGCCATAATCACCCCTAAAAGGTCCTAAAACGTAACAGTGACTCACTTTGTGAGCGTGGCTCATATTCATCCATTCAAAAATAATAATCTTCATCTTTCTTTCCCTATCGATATGCCAGTTTTCAAACTTGGCCCCGGAACTGAGAGGAATAAAAAAAGTGCTCAAATTCAGGAACGAATTATTAATTTCTTTTCCTCAATTCCCCTCAGCCTCGGTGCCAAGTATAAATTTAAAGATCTTCGAATAATTTGAAACTAGCCTAGTAATTTCCCATCTTTTTTTTTCAAAGAGTCCCTAACTATAAACTTCTTGATGTGATCGGCTGGACACAAAGAGACTCGTCTACTCACCAAGGAAAACTCCTTTGCTCCGTTATCAACAACGGCTTGGTCGGCTATTTGTTTAAAGTCCCTTACGGCATCTTGGTTGCTCACATGAAGTCCTAATCCAACCATGCCACAAATGGAGGGGTCTGTCTTGTTGACTCCGGCAACTTCCTAGGAAAGTTAAAAAAGTTGTTTGTACAATTTGCTTACTATACTTGTTTCAACTAAACGATAGTCTTTTTCTACTCTCCATCCTCAAGTTATTCTTAGTTGTTCGCCTTCTCTTTGTTTCTTTATAACCTGTTCATTTCTTTCATAAGGAACCGGGTATTTTGTTAGTTGTGATGTTGAATGGACAGACTGCAGCTAAGCTCGTCAATTTTCTATTACTCGCACCTCGAAACTCGACTTGCAACTCTCAACTATCAAATCGCAACTCGCGGCAACTCTCAGCTCTCAACTCGCGACTTTCAACTCGTAACTCCACGACATGCATCTTTATTGATTTGTTGATGGTTTTTACTGGTACGTTCACTAAACTAAACCATAGCATAGAAAACTCGTCCCAGAAGGACAATGTTGCTCCTGGAATTGCACATTATTTCACTTGCCCATTCATTCGTTACATACTGATTGTTACTCTTAACCTCGTTTTTTAAAAAAAACATAGAATAATAAGCTGACAATTATCGATCATTACCAAATCTGAGGCAATCCATTTCAGTTCTTTGTCATTGATCCCAACATACAGGGCCTGCGGGTAAAAAAAAAAGCGACAATAAATTGGTTAATTAATCTGCTTCAGTGTAGCAAATTCGTGAATTATTCATTAAAAGTGATTGACAAATCATCCAATAGGTAGTATTTGAGTCACATGTAAAATCCAGTAAGGCCCGGTTCAGACGCCGAACTTTTCATGAGCCGAACCTAATTCGAATTAAGGCCGACCCAAATTATTTAGACCGGCTAAATTGATTCAGACACCGATCTTAATTCCAGCCGAACTAAATTCAAAAGGAGAAAAATGCTCATTTCGGTTAAACTACTTACAAAATACGTTATAATAATTTATGCATTAGGTTCAGTACATGAAAAGTTCGGCGTCTGAATCAAAGCCGTTCCAAAGTCGCTCCAAAGGCGAAATTCCCGGCCGGGCAAGGCGAAAAGAACGGCTGAGCCGTTCTAAATTGAAACAGGCGTTCCTAATTGATTCAGACGCCGAACTTTTCATGTACTTAATTCAATGTATTAGGTTCGGCTCATGAAAAGTTCGGCGTCTGAACCGGGCCTAAGAACAAGTAACTGGTTTCGTGAATTATTTAACATCAAAACTAACATGTTGTTCGACCGAAGCCTTCAACTCAACTGCTTTCATTAAAAATGAAAATTAAAATGCAGGCTGAGAAATGTATTGTAAATAGTGCAGCTTGTTTACAGGCCCACAAAACTCTAGCTTTCAGGAATTCACAAGAGAAGGTTTGTGAGTTGAAGATTGACTTTGGAATTAAGAGCCTTTTAATACTACAAGCTTATAAGTTTGTAATAAGCTGTTTGATCGACCATCTTCCAAAACAAAGAAATTGAGAGTGGTTTTATAGCGTTCAGCTTTGCTCTCAGAGACATTTTGTAACATTACATTGCGTGACAAATTCGGTCACCCCTTAAGAGCTCTTAAAGCAAAAACTTCGTCGGGAAACCTATTGAATGACTTAAAACCGATCATCGTTAAGAACAAATGACATTTAAAAATTTAGTCTCTTATCTGATTACACGGGCAGCGTAATTTGTAGGCTAATAAAAATTAAGAGAGACAAGACG